TATGAGACTTGAGAGCTTGGCATGCCCGAGCTTGGCATATTTCTTTGAAATGCGATGAAGAAGAGCTTTCCACTCAGATTCGGTCTCTAGATTTTCACTGCTATCCAACTCCATGTCATCTGAAACGGATATTGTGAAAGTGTCCTTAGGCCAACTTGCAAAGGTAGCGTGCTTCATTTCATATGGGTGTAGTACATCGTTCTCGTCCTATATATCAATACATCACAGCATCACAATTGGGTGGGAGGGGGGGGGGAAATGAAACTACAACTAGAAATGAAAAATATGGGTGAGGGCGAATGACCTCACGACCCTCTTTTGTAGGCAAAAGAGGGTGAGTAGCGCTTCGGCGCCACCTTTGCTGTGTTGGCCACGTACCCCCTTTCACAATACAAAATTTGAGAAAGTGTTACACTTTCAAAAATTATAATATTGTTAAAGTGTCCTTAGGCCAACTTGCAAAGGTAGCGTGCTTCATTTCATATGGGTCTTCTGAGGCAGGTGTAGTCGGGGCTGGCGGTGCCGCTCGATGGAGCGCTGATGAATGGCGGGTGACGGGGCTGTTGAGGAATCCTGCAGCTGCGTGGAGAGAGAGATGAGCTGGTCTTGCGCAATCGTGACGTACATTTCCTTGGCATTGTCGCTGCGCCATCGGCCCGTGCGCTTAAAGATCCAATCAGGGACTCCGAGGCTTGCCGCCGCGGTGGCTGCACCTTTGCGAAATGAGTGGGTTCCGATATGCGTGGCGTCAAGTCCGGCCTTCCTGCCGGCGTCGAGACACCAATTTCTGATCGTGGTGTAGGATGGTGAGTTGTCATCTGGAGTGGCTTGCGCATCTTTCTAAAAAACTCGGATTAGAGGTCCATGTGGCAGCCTCGTAAGGCCTGCAATGCGTATGAAGTTGCGTGTGCACCTCACTGGGCAGAATGGGCCCGAGATTGCCGCCACTGGGATCCATACACCCTTCCCTTCTTGATCCGTCTTGGAGTGTGGGATGAGCAGCCACATTGCCTCCTCCTCGAACTGGACGTCGTTCCATTGAAGCGAGACGAGGTCGGAGTAGCGCAAAAACGCTGAAAACATGAGGAGGGGTATCAAGCCCTTCTGGTATTCTGCTGGAATTGACGACTCGAGGTAGGGGCAAGCCATGTCCTGTACTTGATGGAGAGAGATGGGTTCTTTGGTTCGGGCAGAACGGGGGCCATGCCTTTTAGCAAACTCCCGTACTTGCAGGGTAAATGGGCCGACCGTCGGAGAAACTTCGCCTGTCATGCGATGTGCGAAGGCCACTGCCGAACACGTCAGGTTGATCGCCGAGAAAGTGGCCTTGTTGTTGAGCGCATGAATGAGATAGAGTGCTAGCGTCAAGTCGGTTGCCGGCAGAAACTCGAGCATGACTTGAGTGCAGAATGTGCAAAATTTCTGCCAATAAGGCTGATATGTCTCGATTGTGGATGGTGCACGAACATGGCTAATAACGTTCAACAATTGTTGCTGGAGCTGAGCCAAAAGTCCTGAAATCACACATTGATAATGTTTATTAGATCGCATAATTTACACGCAAAGCAATGATTGGGATATGAGGCAATCCGAGTCCAGAAAATGCAGAGGTATGTGAACCTGGCCGAAGGCATTGACTGCCTTGAGCAAGGGGAATGTGCGCTACCACCGCAGGAGCCCATGATTGTGCGGACGGCTGGAGGAGAGGCCACCATGACGCTCCGGTCCATTGGGGTACTATCAACGTGAGTTCCACTTGCGTGCGTTCCGCGTGCCGGAGTGTGGCTGGGATCAGGTGTGGTGGCGGAATGCATCTAAGAGACGGAGAATGCATCTATGGCGAACGCGCTTGGGTGTGGTAGCTTGGAACAGAAGCTCTAGACCTGGTTGTTACGAGCGTTTGCAAAGAGGTCAATGGTGTGGAGACCCCAGCGGCGCTCCAAGAGGCAAAACCATGGTGCATGTAAGGAATAGTCATTGTGGTCTTGCAACTTGGACAGCTCGTCCGCGTGAGCATTGCGAGGCGTGTGGCGTTGCCGAGGCAGAACTGGATAATTGCTTGGCACGTCAATGTCAGTTCCGAGTGGCGAGATCCCCCCTTGCGCAATATGAACATGACCGCCTGGTTGTCCACCCTGACGAGAACGTGAGCACCCGCGATCTGGGTTGCGAATGTCAGCAGCACCCATAGCACTCCCTCGAGCTCGCGCCGCGTGCTGGATGTAGTGAGAAGCTCGCTTGGCATGCATGCGCTGGCTTCACATGACATGCTTGGAAACTTTGTTAGGGTGGCACCCCAGCTGTGTGCGCTCGCGTCGACGTGGATGACGGCATCAAACCGGTGGCTCTGGTGGAATGGGGCCCCATTGAATTGATCGAAGTGCTTCGTCCAGAAGAGCAACTCCGTCGCTCCCAGTGACAACGGGACCTTCGAGTTCCATGACCACGCGGAGTCGATCAAGCACAGCAACTCGTGACTAAAGGCACGTGCCGTCGTGCCTAGCGCGAGCGACATGGAGCTGAGGAATCCAGTGATCCGAGCTATCTGGCGGATCGGCACTTGCTGGCCTGACTGGCTTTTTGTAATGAGCCGGTGGAGCTCACGCAGTAGTTGCTCACGTCGATCTTCCCCGACGAGAAACATCCCTCGTACAGTATCAAGCTCCATCCCCAAGAAGCGGAATTGGTGCGTGGGATGCAGGTTTGATTTCTTGGCGTTGATCACGAAGCCTGCTGCCTTCAAGTCTCGGAGGACTTCCGTGCACGTTGAACGTGCTTGGATCTCGGAGTTGCAGAGGAAAAGTAAGTCGTCCACATATTGGATCACGCGAACTCCGCGCGCGCGCCATTTCTTAGCTAGCTGCTTAATTAATTGGGTGAAGACAAACGGTGCTGTCGCCAGGCCGAAGGGCAGGGAGGTGAAGCAGTAGAATTCTCCCTCAAATTGAAATCCCAAGAACTTCTAGCAGGATGGGTGAATGTCAACATGGTGGTAGCCTGACTTCAAATCAATTGTAAATAGCCAATCGTTTGGGCGGATAATTTCTGCAACCCGGGCTAAGCCTTCGTACTTAAGCTTGGGCACTTGAAGGTGGGAGTTGACCTTTCGTAGGTCAAGTATGACGCAGCATTTGTCCCGTTGCTCCACTACATTGAGCGGGCTGATGCATGCCAATATGGCCTTTGACAAGACTTTGAGTGCGGCACCCGAAGTGATGAGGTCGCAGACAGCACCTTGGGTGAAGGTCATATGTGCTTGGACTCCTGCGTGATTGGGGGCGTCGAAAAGGATGGGCTCCTCGCCCTTCCATGGTAACCAATACCCTCTGGCAATGATAGAAAGGATGAAGCTACTGTCGCACCAAGAGAGCCACCAATGCAGGCTGTTGCGCAGTCGCCTTCGTATGACGGACACCATGTTGTCCGTTATTGCGTGCGTGTATGGGTCCCAACTGACATCTTGCCACTCGCCGCCAGCTTCTGCAAGTGGCGGGCAACCAAGGTTGAATAGAGGGAAAATGACGAGGCGGATTAAACACGGATCCGACGAGGCGATGTGTAGGGGAACTATATCACCCTCCTTCCCCCCGCTTCCCCCCCACTATTGACCACAAGTCAGCCATAAAACCTCTGTCTAGGTTGTAGCTTGAGTGTATGTGCGGTGTTGTTGTTGTTGGTGTGCGTTTTTTTTTTTTTTGCAGTGAGAATGAACTGTACGGGGCCCCCGGTACGGCCACGCCGTATTGTACTGGTAGGAAGTGTGAGCGAATCTCCCCTGACAGCTCCCGTAGCGCCGCTTTTGCCGTGAGTCTAAGGAGTGCCTTCCCAATCGCTATCGGCCTTACTCCACCGTCAGGTTTTTCCAGTGCGATTAGCCTCGATGGTAGCAGCAGCTCCCTCAGCGGCGCGTCCTGGTACGTGCTGAGTAGGTTATTAACTATCTGGTGCAACAGTAAGAATACCTCCCCGTTTGTTAGAGCAGGGTCCCGTAGGTGTTCGAAACAAGTGCCTGACGGGCCTGCTCCTATTCCGTTCGGGCACTTCGCCAGGATGTCGCGGAACGATTCTGTGCCAATGGCGAGTGCTGTTTCGCCGTAACCCCCTAGCCCTTCCTGTATCGCCATCTCCGCTCGCGGGTGCTTCGCCCGGAGTGTTTCCAGTGCATGTTGCGACGGCTCCGCCAACGGAGTGGTTCGTAATGCTGCCGCAGCTTTCGCCAGGTTGGCCTTCCGGACCAATCCCTCTACCCTTGCGCAGATGCCTTCTGCGTCAGGCTCGTGTCTGCTTGGTTGGGAAATGTTGGGGATTGTGCAGGCTTGGAGGTACAGTGAGCCCCAATCTTCATCTCGGATTGTCGAAGTCTTTTCTTCACTGCGTCGAGGCTGTTTCCCGGAACTTTCTTTGTGCTCGCCCTCAGCGTAAGCCGAGGCAGGAATTGCAGCACCCTCCACGCGCCCATGCAGCCCGGATGTTTCGAGAGTCGCAGTAGGGGAATCGTCAAGCAGTGACTGTACGACTTCAGTTCTTCCGGGGGAAGTTTCCTGACCAAGAATGGTTGGGAACTGACTCGCAATGGGTCTAGGTCCCAACTCTCCACCGCGCGCCATGTGTCATCATCGTCCGCGATGTCATTTGGTGAGCGCTCCTTGCTGGCAGATTCATTAGTCTGTTGGGCTGGTGATTCGCCCACCTGTCCAGCCCCGTTAGGATTGTTTCCGTCGTGTCCTCGGCGTCCGCCACGTCGCCGTCTGCCCTCATTGCCAGCTGGGATCCCGTCTTCGGCCTCCACAGACACCTCCTCCGATTCAGCCTCTTCCTCTTCCATATATTCTGACTCTTCTTCCTCTGCGGCGACATTCATTGGTTCTCCATTCTCCTCCTCTGGCCTCCCATGCCGTTCCCGCCAATTTCCGGTTCTGGCTTTTTCTCTTGCTACGGATCTCACCAACTCCCCCACCCGTCCCCCCCTGCCCCGGCCCCTCCCGCGTCCCCGTGTGGCC